TCCTACTTTGAATGACCTTCACTTAAGTCGTGCTCTTTGCTTAAGAATTTACTCGCGTAATGGGTTACAACTATATGCAAAAATGAATACGCAAATGCAAAACTAATTGCATATAGTAAAAGAAATCAAATTGTAAATTTTTGAATTAACATATTTACGTTTTTATAATAAAATCTAATCAAATATCTATTTCAGTTCATTCAGTTGACGTGTGAAGCAAAAAAGGGTTTGAAAGATATGTATATATGAAGATGATTCGAAAATACACTTAACTGAAAACAAGGAAACAATCAAGTTTTGATGGCGTTGGATTATACCATGAATCTAAGAGAAAACGAGATTTCATATAGGAATAATTTCAAAGATATGGATTATGAGTATATTAAAGAAGAATATGATAAACTGGAGGATTTCCGTGCTTTTTCTTTGGATGAGCCGGAAGAACAAACACGTTGAATTTATCTGTGAAATGACACTTTCCTCTGGTCTAAAAATGTTAACTGCTACAACTACTTATATTAATATACCATGAAGTATATAACAATTGTTTGTAAGAGATCTATAGAAGATTCTTCTAGGAATGAAAGCACGTTACATCAGCGTAAACGGAAGGATCAAACTTCAGTTCCGATGGATAAAATCAAAGGAGCAAGGGTTTTGGTCAATTGGAAATAAAATGAAGTTTAGAACGTTTAATTAATAAAAAGGACGGCAGATGTCTCAAAATAAAATAATTGACAGATTCGTACATTCTTTTGTTAATTATTCGTGTTGGTATTTGTTTGATAAGAACACGTAACAAAAGATAACATTGTTAAAATCTTCTTATTATTTGTAGTAAGCACAGTAACAGTTGCGGCACATAACTGGATTCGACGTAAGCAAAGAAACCAACCAGATTATTGTCAAATGTGAATTATCTCAGTTGGCTTGTTCATATTTTGTTCGACAAAGGAGCAGTAAGTATTATTTATACAAAATCATAAGTGGGTAATAATAAATTTTAATTAATTTGTTAATTTTTCAACTGTTTAAAACAACATAAACAATGTATATTTCGTAAAAGAATACGTTTGAACAGAGGCGTCGGTCGATCGGGTGAATGCTCGTGGCCCACGGGTTAGGGGGGGGCGGCACAGAGCCACCTTATTTTAATCAACAATACAGACGATTTGAAACGTCGAAGATTAAAACGCATTATTTAACATTTATTTTAGTTTTATTTTCTGTTTTAATAGACTTATTGCAACTTTCAGATATAGATTTCTTAATTTTGTGACACTGTTAACCATTCTACTCTTCGCATGTGAACACAATAGTGAGGCATCCGGGGTTCTTTATGAGCAATTGCTGCATAATAGAATTCCCATGCCACGGTCTCTCATTTAATCCGAGGACGTTTAAGTTTACAGGGCAATACTAAAGTTTCTTAAAACATCTAATACCTATATATAGTTTTAATGTGTCAACCTTTCTACTTTATACCTTTCCGAGGTCTCTCCAAGAACCTGAGTACTGAACCGCTGAGACCCCGGTTTCAAATTCGTTATATATTTGTGTTCGATCCGTTACCTTTATTGTCTTTACCTATCTTGCCATATCTCTCCTATGTACATATTTTATAGAAGTCAGTTTAAGTTGGATTTAATAGTTATTTTTTAGTTTCGTTAGAAGGAGTCGTTTATTTTGATTATTTGTTTTGAAGAGGGAAATTTTTGGTGTAATTGGAAGAAGCTGGTTGCCTTAACTATTTGGAGGCAAGAAGAAATCCGAAGAATACAGACAGGGGCTGGCTTATTGGCGCGTAATGCGGAAGCCAAATGAAGATGCATTAAAAAATAAAATATTCGAATTAATAACGTAAGGGCAAGGATTTACAGAAAGACAGATTCAATTGCCTTATGAAAATGAAAATGATACCGAAATTAAGGAATATTTTATTGGTTTTACACGAGAACTTCAGGTTTTGATTTAACTGAAGTGTTAAAAACTCATTTAGCCGATTTGGGTATATTGGGTATTAGTTAATATGGTTGGTAAAAAACAAGGAGTTCAAGCAAGAATTTTGTCGGAAAATCCATTGGCATTTTTGTGCCATACTTTAAATTTATTATTAGTAGACATGGCTTCGACCGTTCCAATGGCAGTAACATTATTTGGTGTAATTCAAAGGTTCTACACAACTTTTTCTAGCTCAGCTGCACGATGGAACATTTAAAAGAAACATCTAGACACTACTTTAAAGCCACTATGCGACACTCGGTGGGAGTGTAGAATAAATGCTATAAAGGCTATTATACAAATTAAGCGAAACAACAAATGATCCCAAAATAAAAAGCGAATCAATATTATTGTACAAACACGAAATGAATTTTGAATTTGTGCTGTCAATTATCATCTGGTATGACATATTTTTGAACGTAAATACCGTTAGTAAAAGTGTACAAAAACCCAAAAACCTTCGACGGCAGTTTCTCTTTTGAAGGGGTTTGGAATTTTTTTTGAAACACTTTAGAAATGTTGGTTTTGCGAAATCAAAAGTCAAAGCTGAAAAATTATGTGTAAAATGTTGTGACGTCCGGTACTGTACGCCCTACTCCAGCCCGTAGCGGGTTTACCGGGAAGGGCGGATAAGGGTACTACCTGCTTATAGGGTATATAATCTGCAAGATATCTATAATCGCTCACGCGGGTGCCACCCCAAAACCCTATTCCACTCTCAATTGCTTTCCAATCATGCCTTCAGTGAATCTACAGCTTTAAGAGAAACGTTATCCGCAAAATCTTCAAACTACATTACATTCACCCCGAGCGCGTACCTCCATGACCCAAAATCCCTACTTTCATCCATAAACTGCAAGGCCGACACGCCACCAAAACCTTCTCCCTGAATCACCACACCCGCACCCTATACAACCGCCCACCAATCTCCGCCAACACACGCAAACACAAAACCAAAATCCCCTTCCCACCGCCCACCAAACCCTGACAACTAACCCCGACCATTTTCTTTTTTTCAAGCTAGCATTAAGCCAGCGGTTCCCAAACTTTATGCTACTACGCCTCCCCGAAAAAAAATTGTTTTTCCCGCGCCTCCCTTACCTTTTATTGTTTTAATAGATTGAATAGATAAAAACACAAACATTTTTACTCTTATAAAATTTTTCATACAAACTAATGGAAAATGATATTTTATTATTGTTTTTAATGAGATGGATGTGCTTGTCTATTAGCACAAAGTTTATCAAATCTTGGTGTTTGTGACGATATAGCTACTCGTGGCTCTTTTTCTACAACTAAACGAGCTCGATATTTAGATTTCATTGCAGCCAACGGAGAAAATCCCGTTTCGCATTAAATATGATGTTGCGAACGGCAGCAGTACTTTCAAAGCTTTGTTTGACAAAGTGTTATATTCTGTATGAAGATTCAACCATAATTGAAGATTGAGATATAGTCTGAAATTTATATTTTAATGTATTATTACAAGATAATTCAATCAATTTTTCTTTTTCAATACTTGTCAATCCAAATTCATCATCTTCTTCGTCGATAAGTGGATTCTGTATCCACGCAAACTTTGTAAAATCAAGATCACCAAAATAATTCGAAAATTGAAGCAACAAACCATTCAAGTGTTCCACAAAGAGATTTTTGTTTGCTTCTATGTTATCTCGGGCGCATAAATTTAAACGTGGAAACATGTCAATCTATTTTTTTTTGCAAATTTGATTCCTATAGCTCTACTTTTTTAATAAATGCTTTCACTTTGTCTTTTTGTATAAGCAAATGCATTTGCGGTCCTTGCAATGATTTATTAAGAACACTCAATTTTTCAAAAATGTCAACCAAATTTGTAAGTTTAACAATAAAATTATCATCCCTAAACATATTGCCGTCTTCATTATGATTTTCCTTGAGAAACATAGCAATTTCTTCTTTGAGTTCAAGTACCCTTTGAATCACTTTTGCACGAGATAGCCAGCGCACTTCACAATAGTACAGAAGTGACGTGTAATCAGCTCGCATATCTTCACACAGTTTTGCGAACAACCTTGCTTTTAATGGACTGTTTTTATGTAATTTATAACTTTCGTTACTTTTGCAAAAACATTGTTAAGTTCCTCACTTATAGTTTTTGATACGAGAGCTGCTCTGTGGAGCATGCAGTGCGTCCAGAGAACCTCAGATGTTTTCATTTTAACTAGTATTTGAAGACCAGTTTTGTGTCCCGCCATTGATTGTGCACCGTCAGTACAGAGCCCAATGCAATTATTCCACATTATGTCGTTCTCATTAAAAAATCTGTCTATTATTTTGAAATTTTCATTGCATGTGGCTCTGCCAGGAATTTGTTTGCAAAATAAGATATCTTCAATTATATTAGTATCGTCAACATATCGAACATATGCAATTAAATGTGCGTCTTTAGCTACTTCTTTGAAGTACGCATTCGAGAAACTAATTGGTTACAAAGATCTTCAGATATATCATCAATTCTTCTGCCAATTGTATTATCAGCAAACAGTATTTGTCGCAGCTGATACGCATAAGATTGGCCAAACATTGTTTTAACCATATCAATAGCTGCTGGCAAAACTAAGGTTTCTGCTATTGTGTGGGGTTTTTTACATTGCGCGATTCTGTACGACACTAGGTATGATGCTAGTAATGCATTTGATGGAATATGAACATTTTTTTTAAAAATTTTGCTTGTCTTTAGATAACTCATTCAATTTTCTTTGAAAAAATTCTTGGGGCTTACCAACGTATTCAGAATGAATAGTTTCAAGGTGCCGTTTTAATTTGCCGGGTCTCATACTATCAGCAGCCAAAACTTTTGAACAGAACAAACACATTGGCATTTCCACATTATCGTTAATAATATTAGTAAATCCGAACGATAAATAGGATAAGTCGTATTTCCTTGACATGGGAGTTGTTTTTTCCTGTTCCGTGTGGCTTGTATTTCCACTACTTGTGCCAACATCAGAATCTTCATTATTAGTGGATTTTCGCTTATATCCTATCAAAAACTTACCTTCTATTGTTTTAATAGATTAAATAATATAGACACGTTTTATTTATTTCAAGATATTATGGTATAAAAATTAATTTCTTAAAAAATAGTCCTGGCCCAAGCCCTGGCAAGAGTCCGCGCCTCCCCAGGGAGGCGCGTCTCCCAGTTTGGAAACTGCTGCATTAAGCTAACCCTATAATCATCAAACTTTTTTTTTTCTTTTTTAAAACTGTCATTATGTATATATTTAAAATGTTTCTGACTTAATAAGCTCAAGCTCGCATGTACGCCACCTCCTTATAACAACTACTACTACTCTGTTTTTAAACAACATAATAAAATTTTATTTAAGTCTAAAATAAAGTATATAACCGCTCACTTGTGTCGTGTCGCGTTAATCAGTAAGGTTCTCTGTATTATATCGTGTTAGTACTCTTTTCTTATGTCTTAACATCGTGCAAGGTTCTCGGTAATATTCCATGTATATTGTGCCTTGTATTGGCTGTACGAATCCTTTGTATCCAGTGTATCTCTCTGTAGTGTAACCTTCCATGATTTACCCAAATAATCGTGTAATCGAGCTTCTCCAAAATGAAATATTCTTCCAGAATTTAAGACAAATAGAATTAGGAAAATAAAGCGCCATTTTGATTACGAATGAGAAGATTTTCGAGTTAAAGATTCTGAAATTAACTTTTATCGAGAATACTTTTTACAAATAGTAGACCAAAGTATAATTTCAATTCAGCTAGAGAAACTTATTTGGCTTTGGCTATATAATATACCAAATTAAAAATATAAAGAAAATGACAAATTACAAAATTTTTTTTTTTGGATTTGTATCTAGCATTAAAATATGACGATGACAACAATGTAGACATTAAAGGAAATGATCTCTATGAAGAAATAAATGTGTTCTGTAACACTTCTGTAATTGGTGACCATTAGAATGCCTTAAAAAAATTCACCAAACATTAAATGAATTTCCCAATTTAAGTATAACCTTAAGAATTCTATTAACAATTCCGATAACCATTGCTGAGTCCGAACGAAGTTTTCAAAACTTAAAATAATAAAAAAAAAACTATTTAAGATCCACAATGACACAAAGACAGAAAGACTATCGAACTTATCGTTGCTTTCAATAGAAATTGAATTATGCTAGGAATTAAATTTAATTTTGTTTTTCTATTATATTAATATAATATTATATTTCTTCTTAAAAACATTTATTCCCAATGCCTCAAAATCCAAACGACGGCGCTGCGTTTGAACTCCTACTTTCAATGACGATTTCGACCTTTCACACAATACGTTCACTTTGCATCAAATTTTATGCTCCTTTTTCTTTAAACGCGTTACAACTGTATGCAAAAATGGATACGGATGTGCAAAACGATAGCTGTTCAAATTGTCGTTATTCGATCAAATTTTGTAATATTTTCAAATATAAACAAGGCTTTGTAGCGTCTCATCGAGTAGTTTTGAATGATCGAAGACGCATGCGTATAAATTGATTTTTTCTCCAGATTTTCGAACGTGCGCATGCGCACTATAACACTAACATTTTAATGTTTTTATTCAGCTATCTTTGAACTTAAGTGAATATGGAAATGAGCATATCACATATCAATATTACATTAAAACTAATGAAGTTTTGTTCTTTTCTTTCTTTTTCAGTTGATTCCGTTCAAATGTATCAGATTTCGGAACCAGAAATAACTTTAAAAGATTTATCCGAGACCATGTGTAAGCTGAAATTTCACGTGAATGCATTGGATGCTGTCGATTTTATCAAGTCTTTGTCGGACAACGAGGTTATTCATATGAATAAATTCGATAAAATACCCTATGTATATATTAAAGAGGAACTTGATAAACCGAAGGATTTCGGTGCTCTATCTTTGGACGATACGAAGGAGGATCGACCTTGGGTTCATATGTGCAACGACACTTTTCTCTACTCATTGGCGAATGGAAATTTCGTCCTTCCGTTAAATAAAGACAATGTTATATTTAAGAAGTCTACATACACAGAACACGTATTAATCGGTTGTCAGAAATCCGTAGATAATTCTTCTAAGAATGAAGACAAGTTGCATCTACGAAAGGATCAAACTTTGGATGATCCGATTGTTGTGCCCAACCACTAAATTATAGGACTATGACCTATAAGAACAAATATGCAGAATAGAGATCACTTTTCTTTGTATATTCAACTGATAACCAAACTGTACAATAGACAAATCCCACGGAGAACAGTTACCTGAAGCGAAGCGTCATCTCAAAACCGTGCCTTACTCCTCTGGGAGTCCGTATTAATAAGTATTAACTTTATATGTACAATAAGTATTTAGAAGTAGTCTCAGTAAAATCTTTAAAGATGAACATAGTCTTATAAGAATCTTAATATGATGAGCATAGTAATAGATGAATTTTAAATCGACCAAGTAACAAATAAAGTTATGTAAAACCAAACGAATTTCATTAAATTTCCTACAACTGAGACTCCACGACGACAACACCAGACAATATTCCACTGTGTTCAGAATCAAACGTTTGTCCATTCTTTGTATTTTAATAACCAGTTTTTTTCACCCAGCACAGAGAATGAACCAAACGAATTAATAGATAATCAAGTTTCCGATGTGTCTTCAAATGAATGTAAAACCGAAAAGAATATGAAAATCTTGAATCCAATCGATTATCAATACGAAATCGAAATGAGAAAACAAATTGAAATAGAAGCTCAAATCGAGATCCAAAGACAAATATACTTGTAAATCATTCTGGATTATTCAGTAAATTAAGAAATATTTTAATTAAAAAACACTTTCTTCTTTATAACTACAGAATTAAATGAGTTTACAACGTATCAGCAAATAATCAACAGATGTTTCAGATTCATTAATTTACAGATGACTCAAAATGGAATACGTACGAAAAGATAAAATTGTTATCATAAAATGTGTATTATCTCTGTTGACTTGTTCATATTTTATGCGACAAACTAGTTGTAAGTCAATATGTATTAATATAAATAATGTTGGAAAACAAACTGAAAATGAAAACATAATTAGTAAACTTGTCCGTTTATAAATTGAAGTTCTTTTTGTTTAACTGTCACAGTTAATTAATAATTTCAATTGTTTAAAAAAAAAATGTGTTATTAATTATATAAACCGACTAAAAAGTGTATATTGTGTAAAATAATACGTTTCAACTCCTACTTTGAATGACCTTCACTTAAGTCGTGCTCTTTGCTTAAGAATTTACTCGCGTAATGGGTTACAACTATATGCAAAAATGGATACGCAAGTGCATAACTAATTGCATATACTCAAAAACCAAATTAATTGTAAATTTTTCAATTAACATATTTACGTTTTTTTTTTAATAAAATCTAATCAATCATTGAAGTGTGAAGCAAAAAAGGGTTTGAAAGATATGTATATATGAAGATAATTCGAAAATACACTTATCTGAAAACAAGGAAACAATCAAGTTTTGATGGCGTTGGATTATACCATGAATCTAAGAGATTTCATATAGGAATAAGTTCAAAGATATGGACTATGAGTATATGAAAGAAGAATATGATAAACTGGAGGATTTCAGTGCTTTTTCTTTGGATGAGCCGGAAGAACAAACACGTTGAATTCATCTGTGAAATGACACTTTCCTCTGGTCTAAAAATGTTAACTGCTACAACTACTTATATTAATATACCATGAAGTATATAACAATTGTTTGTAAGAAATCTATAGAAGATTCTTCTAGGGATGAAAGCACGTTACATCACCGTAAAGGGAAGGATCAAACTTCAGTTCCGATGGATAAAATCAAAGGAGCAAGGGTTTTGGTTCTGACAATTGGAAATAAAATGAAGTTTCGAACGTGTAATTCATAAAAAGGACGGCAGATGTCTCGAAATAAAATAATTGACAGGTTCGTACATTCTTTCGTTAATTATTAATAATAATCGTTTACCAAAGGAGTGACATAATTCGTGTTGGTATTTGATCGAAAAGAACACGTAAGAAAAGATAAAATTGTTAAAATCTTCTTATTCTTTGTAGTAAGCACAGTAACAGTTGCGGCACATAACTGGATTTGACGTAGACAAAGAAACCAGGTTGTTAACAAATGTGAATTATCTCAGTTGGCTTGTTCATATTAAGTGCGATAAACGAGCAGTAAGTATTGTTTGTACAAAATCATAAGTGGTTGATAATACATTTTAGTTCATTTGTTAATTTTTCAACTGTTTAAAGAAACATAAGCAATGTATATTTCGTAAAAGAATACGCTTGAACAGAGGCGTCGGTCAATCGAGCAAATGCTCAGGGCTAGTGGGGGGGATTACAGAGCCACCTTATTTTAATCAACAATACAGACGATTTGAAACCGTTTGCAAACGTCAAAGATGCGCAACAATAAATGGAAAGGTAACTTTTAAAACGCATTATTAAAATCTTATTTAATTTTTATTTTTCTGTTTTAATAGCCTTATTGTAACTTTCATATATAGATTTCTGACCACAATTGCACGTAAAAAATAAAGTATTCCAATTAAAAACGTAAGGGCATGGATTTACAGAAAGTCAGGTTTTGTCAAATACTGCGTTTTGAAAGCTACCTCTTCAAAAATAAACAATTGACTTTTATAATTCGAACTGTTCAATTGCCTTATGAAAATTAAAATAATATTGAAATTAAGGAATATTGGTTTTACACCAATATAAACGAAAACTACGGGTTTTTATTTAACTGAAGTGTTAATAACTCAATTAGCCAATTTAGGTATTCCTCTTCAAGATTATAGACAATGGGGCGAATATGGTTGGTAAAAAACAAGGAGTTCAAGCAAGAAATTTGTCAGAAAATCCATTGGAATTTTTTGTGCCATACTTTAAATTTATTATTAGTAGACATGGCTTTGACGGTTCCAATGGCAATAACATTTTTTGGTGCAGTTCAAAGGTTCTTTGCAACTATTTCTAGCTCTGATGCACGATGGTACATTTTAAAGAAATATCTAGACACTACTTTAAAGCCACTATGAATAAATGCTATAAAGGCTATTAGACAAATTAAGCGAAACAACAAATGATCCCAAAATAAAAAGCGTAAATACCGTTAGTAAAAGTGTACAAAACCCAAAAACCGATCTTTCGACGACATTTTCTCCTTTGAAGGGATTTGGAAAACTATTAGAAATATTGGTTTTGCGGAATCAAGAGTCAAAGCTGAAAAATGTTGTGGCGCTTACTCCAACCTGGATACTCCAGCCCGTAGCGGGTATACCAGGAAGGACGGTTAAGGGTACTACCTGCTTAGGGTATATAAGCTGCAAGATATCTATAATTGCTCAGTTGTGTGGTGTCGCGTTAACCAGTAAGGTTCTCTGCAGTGTATCGTGTAAGTACTCTTATCTTGTGTCTTAAGTATTAGGTTCTCGGTATTATTCCATGTGCTATGTATTGGCTATACTAATCCTTTGTATCCTGTGTATCTCTCTGTAGTGAACCTTCCGTGATTTACCCAAATAAACGTGTAATCGAGCTTCTCCAAAATGTAATATTCCTCCAGAATTTAAGAAAAAAAAAATTAGAAAAAGAAATCACCATTTTGATTACGAAGGAGAAGATTCTCGAGTTAAAGATTCTGAAATTAACTTTTATCGAGAATACTTTTTACAAATAGTATACCAAGGTATAATTTCAATTCAGGAGAGAATTAAACAACTAGAGAAACATAATGACTTATTTGGCTTCGTCTATATAATATAGAGAAGAAAATGATAAATTAAAAAAGTTTTGTATGAATTTGCATCTAGCATTAAAATATGATGATGATGATGATGATGATGATGATAACAATGTGGACATTAATGGAAATGATCTCTACGAAGAAATAAAAGTGTTCTGTAACATTTTCTGTGAAGGCATAATCACATATGCCTTCACCATTAGAATGCCTTCAAAAAAATCACCAAGCAGGCAATTAATTTAAGTACAAATAATTTATTTGTTTATTCACTTTTTTTCACTCAATAAATCCAAACGACGGCGCTGCGTTTGAACTCCTACTTTCAATGACGACTTCGACCTTCACATAACACGTTCACTTTGCATCAAATATTACGCTCATTTTTCTTTAAACGCGTTACAACTGTATGCAAAAATGGATACGGATGTGCAAAACGAATTGCATATATTCAATAGCTGTTCAAATTGTCGTTATTCCGTCAAATTTTGTAATATTTTCAAATATAAACAAGGTTTCTTAGCCTCTGACCTAGTAGTTTTGAATGATCGAAGGCGCATGCGTATAAATTGATTTTTTTTCCAGGTTTTCGAACGTGCGGATGCGCACTATAACACTCTAACATTTTAATGTTTTTATTTTTTGAACTTAAGGCACTAGAGTGAATATGGAAATACGCATATCACATATCAAAATTACATTAAAACTAATGAAGTTTTCTTCTTTTCTTTCTTTTTCAGTTGATTCCGTTCAAGTGTATTAGATTTTGGAACCAGAAATGAATTTCAACGATTTATCCGACAACATGAATATGCTGAAATTTCACGTGAATGCATTGAATGCGGTCGATTATGTCAAGTCTTTGTCGGAAAACGAGGCTATTTATCTGAATAAATTCGATAATATACCCTATGTATATATTAAAGAGGAACTTGATAAACCGAAGGATTTCGGTGCTCTATCTTTGGACGATACGAAGGAGGATCGACCTTGGGTTCATATGTGCAACGACACTTTTCTCTACTCATTGGCGAATGAAAATTTCGTCCTTCCGTTAAATAAAGACAATGTTATATTTAAGAAGTCAACATACACAGAATACGTATCAATTGGTTGTGAGAAATCCGTAGATAATTCTTCTAAGAATGAAGACACGTTGCTTCTACGAAAGGATCAAACTTTGGATGATCCGATGAATGAAACGTTTGTCCCTTCTTTGGATTTTAATAACCACTTATTTTCACCCAGCACAGAGGATGTACGAAACAAATTAATGGATAACCAAGTTTTCGATCTGCCTTCAAATGAATGCAAAACCGAAAAGAATATGAAAATCTTGAATCCAATCGATTATCAATACGAAATCGAAAATCAATTCGAAATCGAAATGAGAAAGAAAATTGAAACAGAAGCTCAAATCGAAATCCAAAGACAAATCGAATTTGATGAAGTATCAGATTATGAGGAGGAAATTGAATTCAGAAGGCAACTTCATGAATACCTTGCCAATAATTATTCCCACTCAATTGTTCATAAAGATAATGATGATGATGGTGAAAACGAAAACAATTTATTGGCATTTATAGGTTTCGCATCGATTACAATTGTAGGATTATACCTGATATTTCGTAACTAATAGACAATTCTGATAAGATACATTTTTACATTGTTTTGTCTACGATAATTATTTATAGAAAATTATATTAATTTAATAGATTATTTATTAAAGTTTAATATTTTTGTTGTTTTAGAATTTACATATAATTTTGTATAAACTTACCTGATTTTAAAATTTTATTTTTAATTTTAAATGGAATTAATTTGTTTTTTCTTCAAATATTATAAAATTTATATTCCTTATAGATTTGTATATAGCAACTATTTACAATTAATGACCTTTTATAATGTTTATAATTATTTAATAAAAAATCTCATAAATCTAGAATGCATTATTTTTTTTAAACTTTGACAGATGATTAAAACAGCCAGGTAATACCGTCATTCGAAAGGGTATGAATTCATGTTTCATTATCTTCATTGACAATCTTTATAGTTTCCCTAGTTCTTGAGCAATTAAATGAATCGTAAAGCCATGTTTAGAAAAATCACCACAACTCGAATATGAATAAATTTTATGTAACTGAAATTCAGAAATATCTGCTTATTAAAAAGAACCTTTTTTGCTATATAATCTTAAATTATTTAAAAGTTTTATATATTAAACAAGAGAACAGTAAATGCTATAAATCTATAAGTATGGTCATTTGAATGTCCTTAATTATCATTATCGTTGATGTAATTAGCTTATCTAGTTATTGAGTAATTAAAATATACTTTTAAGAAAAAAAAAAAAAATAATAGAATATATTTATAAATTTTGAATTATTCTCTTAAATAAATTGAAAAATAAATAAGAATATATATAAAAAAATTGATTAAAAATTATTACTTACTAAGTTTTCTTTTTAAATCTAACTATGGTGAATTTATTGACTTATTATTATGGAATTTAGAGTTAAAATATGAAAACACCGCATTTTCAGTTTTGACACCTTTCTCATATATCCAATAACAACTTTAGACTGGAGCCACAACACGCACCGAACTGCACTCACTTTTTCCATACTTACTATTCATTATATAAGTGCATTCTAACTATAAGAGCGGGGATTGCAAACATTTTGCAAAAAAAGGTAGAAACTAAAGGTAAAATGTATTGCTGCATCCGCACTATGCGATATTTGATACGTAAATGATATCGTTGTTAATAAAAATCTCGTTACGAATTATGTAAAAGCATAATTGTCTTCAAATATGATAGGATGGTGAAATAGTGATTTTTGAGGAGGAAGAAGAGAGGTAGGAGAAAAGAAGAATAGGAAAGGAAGAATTATGTAGCAACAAAATTTTATTCAAGTATGATAAAAAGGGCGACTAATAGCTGAATGGTTAAGTCGCCCTATCCACGATTTTGTTGGCGACGGTTCGATCCTGGTCATTAAAGGCCTTTTGTGAACCCTCTCGGTGCTTGCAGCGATAGGATCATCGTTCATCACAGATGAACAGTGAAATGAATGATGTTCAGCATATGGACCTTCAGCCAAGTCGATGGACAATGACATTGTTAAGGATAGCAGCAGATTCACAATGAAAAGAAATAGTGGAATCGCAGAGCATCAATATACTATTGAAGTTAAACTACAAGACGACAGCCAACCAACAACAAATTAAAAATCTAAGCAACATAATGTAAACTAAAGACCGGAAAAGATTACCTACCTAATGGCAACCGCAATCTTAAATTTACTCAATGTTCACATTGATGAACAGATAGTAAATAAAATTACACTACATAAAAAAGTATGATAAGGAATGATAGAAGAATGGTGAAATAGTGATTTTTGAGCAGGAAGAATAAGAAAAGAATAGAGGAGGAAGAGTGGAAGAAGAGAGAAAAAGAGAGTGGAAGTATAGAGGAAATAGACTGTAAAAAGACAGGAAGAATGGATAAAGAAGAGAGGAAGAATTATGTAGCAGCATAACTTTATTCAAGTATGATAAAGAGTGATAGAAGAATGGTAAAATAGTGAATTTGAGGAGGAAGAAAAATAATGGAGGAGGAATAGTGGAAGGAAAGAGAAAAAAAAAGTGGAAGAATAGAGGAAAAAGAATGGAAGAAGAGAGGAAGAATTTTGTAGTAGCATAATAATGCAAATAAAAAATGATAAAAGAATGGTGAAATAGTGATTTTTCAGGAGGAAGAAGAAGAATAGAATAGAGGAGGAAGAATGGATGAAAAGAGAAAAAACAGTGGAGGTATAGAGCAAAAAGAGTGTAATATGACAGGAAGAAGAGAGGAAAAATTATGTAAGAGCATAATATTATTAAAGTATGATAAAGAATGATAGAAGAATGGTGAAATAGTGATATTCCAGAAGGAAGAAAAAGATTAGAGCAGAGGAAAAGCGAAAAAAAGAGAGTGGAAGAATAAAGAAAAAAAAGTGTAAGAAGAGAGGAAGAAAATAGGAAGCATTTTGTAGCATCTTAATAAAGCAAATAAAGAATGATAGAATAATAGTGAAATAGTGATTTTTCAGGAGGAAGAATAGAATAGAGGATGAAGAATGGAAGAAGAAAGAAGGAAAGAGTGGAGGTATAGAGGAAAAAGAGTGTAAGAAGACAGGAAGAAGAGAATAAGTATTATGTAACAGCATAATATTATTCAAGTATGATAAACAATGATAGAAGAATGGTAAAATAGTGATATTCCAGAAAGAAGAAAAAGAAAAGAGTAGAAGTAGTAGTGGTGAAATAGTGATATTCGAGGAGGAAGAATGGAAGAGAGAGAAAAGGAGAGTAGAAGAATAAAGAAGAAAAGGAAGAAAATAGGAAGAATTTTGTAGCAGCATAATAATGCAAATAAAGAATGATAGAAGAGTGATGAAATAGTGATCTCTGAGGAGGAAGAAAAAGAAAAGAATAGAGGAAGAAAGTAGAAAGATGAGACGAAGAAGGAAGGTAATAAAGGAAATGTCGAAGAAACAGAAGAATGCGAGGAATTGAAACAATTGATAATCAATTCCAAATTAATACACTAGATGGCGAATTGATGACATTTGACTCTCCTGTCACTTGCGGATGCGGTAGAAATAATACATAAACTATTAAATATAACAGACCTGAAACTTGAAGATTCAAACTATTGTTTTTTTTTGTAAAAATAAATAAAAGAAAGAACAAAAATCCAATTACTTTTTCTTAAATAAAAACGAAGTACAAATCTACAAAACTTCTCAGAAATAATTACATTTAATGCGTAATTTTAGCTAAATTCGTTTAATATACGTAATGACGCCAATCATCTAGTTCAATTAAAAAAATACGGACTTAATTCATACTCATTAAGCTTAATACGATTTTGTAATGAAATATTTACATTTGAATCGAGATCAACGAAAGTGTCCAATTTACATTAACCGTAAAATTGCAAAACAACTGTGCTCCAATTTTATTTCATATTTTTTTGTTTACCCAATTAAACCTAATAAAACTTTGTATACAAGTAATATAGAATTACGCAATAAAAATTATGAGATGTTAAAACTTACAGATTATTTGTGGTTTCCTTTCAAATACGACAAAATTTCTGAAACAAAAATTAAAGAAATGTAAAAAACCTATTCTAATAAGAGAGATACATCGTATAGTACGGTTTCGGTCAGTCCGGTTTAAAAATTTCAAAATAAAACTAATTCTAAAACAATATGATTTTTGTGTTGTGCAATTTTATAATATATAGTTTATAAAAATGTATAATCCATTTTTATAAATCAATACCTCGCATAGTACGGTTTCGACCTGTCCGAACATTTGAACATAAATGGTGATCGTTTTCATTTTTTCTTCCTACAACAAGTGTGCGTTTTATTTTAGCAAGTATTTTGTTTCTCGATTAGTCCCGTATTCAAACAGTCCGGGATATTGGCGGAACAAGCACTATGCGAGGTATTGTTGTGTAATAACAACAAAAAAAAAGTAGATTTGTCAAGATTTTTGTTATGATGTTATTAATTATAAAACAAGCAGATTAATTTCATTTCAAATATGTGTCCTTCAGACTAGATGCGAATTTTTGTGAATTAGTCCTGTATTCAAACAGTCCGGTATATTGGCGGAACAAGCATTATGCGAGGTATTGTTGTGTAATAACAACAAAAAAAAGTAGATTTGTCAAGATTTTTGTCCTGATGTTATTATTTATAAAACAAGCAGATTAATTTCATTTCAAAAATGTGTCTTTCACACTAGATGCAATTTTTTATGAATTAGTCCCGTATTCAAACAGTCCGGGATATTGGCGGAACAAGCACTATGCGAGGTATTGTTGTGTAATAACAACAACAAAAAAGTAGATTTGTCAAGATTTTTGTCCTGATGTTATTATTTATAAAACAAGCAGATTCATTTCATTTCAAAACTTTGTCCTTCACACTAGATGCGTATTTTCGTGAATTTATCCCGTGGGAAAACATTAAACGTTTAGATTACGCACCAACAAATGGATGGATAATATTTCCGAATGACATATGTCTGTAAAACTGTGCGAAACGACCGTCGGAATTGGTTAAATTCAACAATAATTTACCTCATTACGTCCAGTTTAAAGAGTATCAAATGTGGTCCCAGTTTTTGCGCTCTAATAGTTTCCGCAATTTAACGCCACACACGCATCGTCATTCGAGCTATGTAGAAAATTCAGAGAAACAAACAAATTTTTCAAATGAAAAACTCGACCGGAAATACTTTGAAAAATTTAAAATATTTTCATTATAAATTAAAAAAAAATATGATATATTATATAGTACAGCAGTGCGGATACTCGTTTCCCAGACTATTTGAAACCGGACTAATCGAGGATTTCAAATTGTAAAATACACAAAAAGAGATTTATATCTATAGTAAAGACAGGTGCAGTTTTAAATGAGAAAAAGTATTAATAATTGTATCAAAAATTGTATACTAAATATTTAGAAATTATGTTTATTTTCTCAAATTATATTTTTTTGCAATTCCCAAACCGTACTATAGAGAATCAGAACTAATATAAGTCGCATTATTCAAGTCATATTTTTTGCTATTTTTGAAAAAAAAAATCTTATTTTCTAATGAATTCTTCACATTGCTAAATGTATACATAAGTTAGTCAAACTAAGTAGATTAAATCAAATTGGTAAATGTATACAATACGTGTTTTTAATCTTTTTTTAAATTATATTATAAATATTTATAAAATAAATTCAATTTTTTTAGATTACAAATTTTGAGAAATTTTCAAAATTTTTCTATCAATTAAATTTTGAATTTTTACTTAGAAAACTTTACATAAACATTACATAAATATTTTTGTTTGTAATCAAAATCTACGCACATTTTTTGTATGGTGCAATGAGTATTAAGTTTATGATAAATTCGAAACACTGTTAGTGATTATGATAAAAAAAGAACGTAATCTCCTACACGTTCGAAAAATTCAAAAATGAAACGTAACGAATTTCATATGGCAGATAGTAAGTAGTACTTTTCCATTTAATTAGAGGCACACGGAAATCCGTTTCGTAATCACAATTTGATTGCGTAATGTTTTAGATATAAAAACGACTTTTGATAAAATAATGTACATATTATTATTTAGTTGTAAAGAAAATGAAACATATGTGAATTTCATAAGAAATGATAAAAAAATGTTTGATTATGCAATAACAATACATTTCAGGTAAATTTTGTGACTCTCTTTCTCCTGATGATTCAGCTGAATTATCGGAGTTATGAAAAACTGCAGAAATATTCTAGAGTTTCAGTCATTTGAGATTGAGGTGCAGATGGAGCGTAACAGATGCAACAAAGTTCTGGATAAAGAAAATATTGTGTATTGTCAATAACTTTTTGAGTTTTGAATCAAAGAACATAATAATATATTATCAAAATCTCAACAACCATACAAGATTTTGATACTGTCGGGATTTAGATTGCCACTGAATATTTCACAACTGTTTGTAACCGGACTAATCGAAAAATTTAAAACTGCATAGGAAATTTATAATCAAAATGTATTCCTGTTTATATTAACTTATTATTACTGAATAAAAACAAATATTTTTCATAGATAAAATTTGATTAAAATGTGAAAATATTATTCAATAATATTTTGATTCTAGGAAGTCTCTTATAATGTTAACTGGAAGCGGTTTATTTGTAGTTATGTAATGTATTATGTAATATTGTATAAATTAGTGATGATTCCATGCGATTTATATATTTATTGTAGGAAAAGAAGTTTATTTAAAAGACTCCAATTTTATTTATAAATTAGTGATAAATGAACATTTTACTTAACAATTTTAGTACAAATTGTTAAGAAACTTGGAAGATGATGATGAATATATGTGAAGATTCGTCAAAAGAAGTAAATCATCAAATCATGCACAAAAATAGTAGACAATTATGTTAAATATAGTGAAATTCAAATAAAGTTTCTTCACAAACATTTAGTTGCCAATAGAAGAATAAATTGTAAAAATTTATTATCATTCAAGATTCTTCCAAAATTTGTAACAATTTTGTTCTTATATTTATCTCAATAACACAGAATTTAGTGACAATTATTTATAGAATGTTTAATAGGAATATTTCTTTGTTATTTAGATATATGTAAGAAAAATTATGTTATTTTTTTAAAACTACTTACTTACTTATGAAGATATATAAAACCTCAATGAAAATGGATTAAAGATCAGAATTCAAAAGAATTCTTCCATAAAATTACAAGAAAAATAATTCAAAACACTAGAGATTATGTGAATTAAATAATTATAAAATTTTAAGGAAAAATGTTCATAATTTTACAAATTAATAAGAATTTGGAGATTATAATTTAAGAATTCAAATTAGAAATAAATATAAGAAAATATCAAAATTTTGTAATAAAATTAAGATACTTTAGAAGAACTTGACCATCAAATCATCAAAAAAAATAGAAGATTTATATTAAAGGAAGACAATTAGAAAGAATGGTGAAAGACACTGCAGATTCTTCAAACGAATTTTACCTTTAAATAAGTAGCAATACTTTCCAAAGTATTAGAGAATTATGTGAAGTAAAAAATAACGAAATTGAAACAAAGGTTGTTCATACCGACTAATTCATCAATTGACGAATATTTAGTTAATATTTGGAGATCAATTATTCAGAAAATTTAAAAATTCCGATTGTAAGTGTATATATCAGAACTTATGTATCAAATCAACAAAAAATAGAAGTTTTATATTAAAGGAAGACAATTGGAAAGAATGGTGAAAGAAACTGAAGGTTCTTCAAAAGAATTCTATCTTCAAATTAGAAGATACTTTATACAAAATATTAGAGAATTAAGTGAAGTAAAAATTTACGAGATTGAAAGGTTCCTCATTTACAAATGCAAGAATAAAATTAAAGAATTTAATGATAATTATTTTAAAAAAGTACGATTTTGCGGTAAGAACATTTCTGTATTATTTGGTACAAATTGGAAACAAATGTTAAGAATTTTGGAAGAATCTTGAATCAAATTTGAAAAAAATCATTGAATTAATAAAAAAAAAGACTGAAAAAACAATAATGGAAATTCTTTCTGAAAAAAAATATGCAAGATTATCGATTGTGAAAAGAATTCTAGCATCAAATTAGAAGAAAAACCAAACAAAATACTAGAGAATGATTACGTGAATTAACAGAAAAACTATTCAAAATAGTGCAAGAAAAACGCGAAGACAATAAAAGTAAAATTGAATAGAAGTTTCTTAGAAAGACTGAAAAAACAATATTGAAAATTCTTTCTGAAAAAAAATATGCAAGATTATCGATTGTGAAAAGAATTCTACCATCAAATTGGAAGAAAAACTATGGAAAATACTGCAAGAAGTAAAACGTGAAGACTATAATAGTGAAATTGAAAGGAAGTTTCTTAAAAAGACTGAAAAAACAATAGTGAAAATTCTTTCTGAAGATTAACGATTGTGAAAAGAATTCTACCATCAAATTAGAAGAAAAACTATGTAAAATACTAAAGAATGATTACAGAAAAACTATGCATAATATTGCAAGAAGTAAAACGTGATAACAATTAGAGTGAAATTGAAAGAAAGTTTCATAGAAAGACTGAAAAAACAATAGTGAAAATTGTTTCTGAAAAAAAATATACAAGATTATCGTTATGAAAACAATTCTACCATCAAATTAGAAGAAAAACTATGCAAAATACTAGAGGATGATTACTTGAATTAATAGAAAAATTATTCAAAATACTGCAAGAAGTAAAACGTGAAGACAATAATAGTGAAATTGAAAGGAAGTTTTTTAGAAAGACTGAAAAAAACAATAATGAAAATTCTTTCTGACAAAAAATATGCAAGACTATTGATTGTGAAAAGAATTCTACCATCAAATTGGAA